AACGTAGGCCATACAACAAAGATAACATAATTTTGGTGCTACGATTAGTGTTCACAGTAGGCCTACCAACAGAAAAATTAGAAAATTCTTGGCATTTTTTGCCACGTATCGGATTCTTCCTATTCTGTTATTTTTTAAAAAGAAAGTTTAAATCTTATTTTATTTTAAAAATCACAAAAACGTTTTTCTCATTGTGTGAGTTTGTTTTTTTGTGCGTGTGTGTGTGTGTGTGTGTGTGTGTGTGTGTGTGTGTGTGTGTGCGCGCGCGTGCGCGCATGTGTGCGCATGTGTGTGCATGTGTGTGTCTGTGTGTAGGTGTGTGTGTGTGTGTGTGTGTGTGTGTGTGTGTGTGTGTGTGTGTGTGTGTGTGTGTGTGTGTTGTCTATGTGATAATGAGGTGTATTTTGCCCTCTAAAATAGATATAGCGACCTACACCCGAGTCGAGTCAAGTCACGATCGTAATTTCATTTTCCCCCCTCAGCTCTGACAGTGAACCAGGCAACGGCAAACATTGGTGAGCACTTTTCCATTAGACGTTATTATCAAATCTGAGCTTAAGTAGCGTGAGCAGCAGTAGTGGAACTTAAACATTATCAGCAGCTGCTGTACAGTAGTATCAGGATCAGCAGTAGTGGAAGCAGCCACTGCAGCAGTTGCAGCAGCAGTTGCAGCATCAGTAGTATCAGAATCTCTAGTGATACGAAAGTGACAGTAGTAGTAGTAGTAGTAGTAGTAGTAGTAGTAGTAGTAGTAGTAGTAGTAGTAGTAGTAGTAGTAGTAGTAGTAGTAGTAGTAGTAGTGGTAGTAGTGGTAGTAGTGGTAGTGGTAGTAGTGGTAGTGGTAGTAGTAGTAGTAGTAGTAGTAGTAGTAGTAGTAGTAGTAGTAGTAGCAGTAGCAGCAGCAGCAGCAGCAGCAGCAGCAGCAGCAGCAGCAGCAGTAGCAGTAGTAGTAGTAGCAGCAGTATGTGGCGTCGGTGGCCTAGTGGTTAGGCTCTCGGACTCGCAACCGTAAGGTCGTGGGTTCGAATCCCGTCAGGGGCCCGATGTTGTGTCCTTGGGAAAGGCACTTTACACTTATTTTCCTCACTTCACCCAGGTGGGAATGGGTACCCGGCTATAGACAGCGAAAGATCTTGTCAGTTTGTTAGTGTTTGAGCGCTTAATCGGCTGCTTGCACTGTATGCTTCCCGGGAAGCTGAGAATGTTTCGGAGTGTTCTATGGTCTGCTGGGGTAATAATATAGTGTAAAGCGCATAGAGCCTGCTGTTGAGCGGGGATATGCGCTATACAAATGCTATCTATTATTATTATTAGTAGTAGTAGTAGTAGTAGTAGTAGTAGTAGTGTGTTTCAGTCAAGAGTCGTCCGTAGATTATTGTATCAAAATACAAGAAAGTTGAACGAAAAAAAACCCTCTTGAAAAAAGAAGTATGACCACCAGTCAAATCTGGGTTTTTCGTTGTTACTTGCAAAATGTAGTTTAGATACTAATATTTATTATATATTATTATATTATACATTATTATATATTATTATTATTATTATTATTATTATTATTATTATTATTATTATTATTATTATTATTATTATTATTATTATTATTATTATTATTATTATTATTATTATATTATTATTATTATTATTATTATTATTATTATTATTAATCATTATTGTTATTAGTATCATTATTTTTATTATTATTTACCTGTTGTATTGCATATGATGCTATAACATATCTGAGGGCGTGCGTCTGCAGAAGGTGCAAGCGGCCATAGGAGGCTCAAATAAGCGCATCGGCCATGCTAAGATTGAGATTTTATATGCTATTCTTTAGACTCTGGCCTTAGTCAGCAGTAGTTCTATGTATAATAATAATTATGTGTTTGCATATAGCTGAAAGGTTCTGAGCATCCTTTCTGTGAGCAGTTTTGACATTGGCGGCAGAAGCCCAACATAAGGAACAATAAATGCCGGGTTAATGGTGCAGGTCATCCGCCTTATTTGGTGTTATTCTGGATCGACTACCCTAGTTAGCTGACCTAATTGTGTCGCAAGGGCCGTAAAATTCTTACTAAAGCAAAACACGAGTTCTATTCTGATCCACAGAATGCGGAACGACGGAGGACTGCCCACCTGGGTACTGGTGTAATGACGCCTCCAAACAGTGCTTGATTATGCTCGGATGGTATCCTGACAATTAAGAGATATATACGCTACGCATGAAATGATGACGTCCAATCCAGCAGGACCGAAAGTGCTCTCTTGTTTTTGGGAAACAGATTTGGCTCAAGTAGTTCATAAGTGAAAACGTGTGCTTGTAGTGAAGCTGTATGTAATTGAATGTATTTTAGGGAGAAATAAATGTTATTCCTATTTGTTTGGTGTTCGCTGTTGTTGTTGACTTTGCAAAGATTGTTGTTGTTGTTGTTGTTATTGTTGTTGTTGTTGTTGTTGTTGTTGTTGTTGTTGTTGCTGTTGGTGGTGGTGGTGGTG